CTTGTCCTAGTAGCGGTGCCCTTGCTGCTAGTAGCGATGCCCTTGTTTCTAGTAGGGACGCCCTTTATAGTAGCGTCTTGTTCCTAGTAGCGATGTTATTGTTACTAATAGGGATGCCCTTTTTAAAATTTTACTAGTAGCTTCTTGGTCCTAGTCGCGATGCCCTTTGTTACTAGTAGCGATGTCCGTGTTACTGGTAGCTGCTTGCGCCTAGGAGCGATGCCCTTTTACTAGTAGCTTCTTGTTCCTAGTAGTAATGCCCTTTGTTACTAGTAGGGATGCCGTTGTTGCTGGTAGCTTCTTGTTTCTAGTAGTATTGTCATGCCCTTTACTACTAGTAGCGATGCCCTTGTTTCTAGTAGCTTGTTGTTACCAGTAAGCTTGTTGTTACTTGTATCATAACAAGAACCTTTTCTTGGGAATCATTTTTTGGAAAGCAACTGGTGGAGATGACGCTGCAAGGCCTGCATTGCCACATTTTGCACAAAGGGCATCAAGCGCATGCTTGTCTGCACAGTGTCACTTTGATTTGATGACGCGTCTACTCTTGTAGAACCCTAATGGCATTCTTTGGCCTCCAACCTAATAGCGATGGCCTCCAACCTAATTAAGAGTGATGGCCTCCAAACTAAGATGGTTTTTTCGGTGTAAACAGAGACGTAATCTCGATTTATGAAGGGGGGGATTCTCAAACAACACCTTGCTTGTTGGGGACCTGAGGTTGGCGTGTCGGCGGTATCGACGACGCAAACCGCAAGCGCGGTGTCGCAGGTTGGATGTCAAAAGTGGACCGTTGGCTGAAGCGATCTTGAAACCATCCAGAGGAATCACACAGCAGAATTTGTACTAGGAACATTCTTACTAGGAGAATCGGACGCTACTAGGAGCAAGGACTACGAACGGAGCGATCGGACGCTGTGGTGGCAAGAAGCTGAGGGAATGAAGCATCTTTGGTTCAAGGGGACTCTCTACGCGACCGCTTGCGACAGACTAACTTATATCATCTCTGAATCTTATATCTAAAAGTCTAAAGCATAGAGCAAGACATAATCAAGCATAGAGCATGATTTTTCCACGCTTCAAACAAAGAAATAGGGCACAAACGCATAGAGCAAGCTTGGACGCATGAGCAATCCATACCATGCTGATCTTGCTCTGAGCTCGGTCAGCAAAAAGAATCAACATCTCAAATTGTACAAAGCAATCAAAGCTGGAAAGAAGAAACTGCAAGGATGACACATTATGGGTGTCACTCCTGCAAAACGTTGGTATCGTGACATTTGACCAGATTCTTTGACGTGGCAGTAGTGCCTTGCGAGGTCTGGAAGCAAACCCTGGAGAAGGAGCTGGGTCTTTGGTGCTGTCAACAACTAGGCCTCCAACCTAATAGCGATGGCCTCCAACGTAAGAGCGATGGCCTCCAACCCTAGAGGTGATGGCCTCCAACCCTTGAGAAGGAGCTGGATCTCTGGTGCTGTCAACAGCTAGGTGCGTGTGGGCTGAAGCATGACTGTCATGTCCTAGTGATTGCATGATCATTGAACATGGATGTACAATATTCACACTATTTTGTCACTCTTGTCCATTGTTGTCACTAAAGGTACTAGTAACAAGTGCATCGCTACTACTAACAAGGTTGCTGCCCACTTCACACAAGGCAATTCTTCACATGTGGAGGTGTTTCGAGAGATGCTCCACTCGACGCTGTGCTGAAGGCTCCGGCGAGTTTGTTTTCTGTACCGGAATGCCCTAGTGATGATTGACCAGTAGTAATGCCCTAGCTACTAGTGGCGTCCTTGTTACTAGCAGCGATGCACTTGTTACTAGGTGCAAAGTCTTTAAACGTGCCAGAACATTCTCAAAACGTTTTTGCCGGTGTCTTGATTTGGTCGGACCATTTAGTTTTGATTCTGAATTCAGAATGAAAGCATGCAAGATCTTGAATGGTTTCTACAAGTGCGATGGTTTGATTGCCCAAAGCTTGTCTGAGTTTTCTGCCATGGAGAGCCCCGGAAAGCCGGAGACCAGGACATGTCCAGCAGTTCCCAAGCTGGTGAGTCGACGAACAGGCAGTCTTGTCACCTGGGTGGTGGATCGTGGTGGGGCACCGCCCAATTCACCGGCGCCCAGAACAAGAGAGTCCAGTCCTCAGACACCTCCCTTCAAGCCTTCCTTTCCGCGGCTGACCTGTCTGAGTCCCAGTCCCAAGAATCCCAAGAGTCCCAGACACCCATTTTGCACTTCGCCCAAGAGCGACCTCCCGAAGTCGCCGCCTTCGCACCGGGAGACCTCTCGGGAGACCTCCCCGGACACCAGGTGTTCTCTACCTTCGTCGTCTGGCGAAGGTCCAACTCCAGTTTGGCCAGTCTTTGTCCCTTGGGTTGGGGTCGCTATGGACCCCATGGTCATGGCAAATGCCATGGCACACTACCAGCTCCAGGTGTGCAAGAAAGCACAGCAACTTGCTCAGGCCCGTGGTGCACCAAACAATGAGACCTGCGTGGTGGGCTGCTGTTGTTCGCGGTGCATTGGCATTCCAGCAGCGTTTCGTCCAACAAGTGCGGAAGCTGTTGAAGCAAGTCAGGAGTCTATAGAGGTTGACAGCTTGAGCTCCAAGAAAGACGAGAAGGAGGAAGATGTTGCTTCCACCACCTCAATGTCATCAGATGAATCTTTGGACCTGGAAGTGCCCTTTCCTCCATCATGGCAGACCCATGCGAAGAAGCAACTCACTTGGTGTACTCGGGATTTTCGTTTGCGCGCAGGCCTTCCTTACAACAAGGTGAACCGGACCATCGTTTGTTCAAAGCTACATTCGGACACCAGCGCCATTGATGTGCAGCAGGCTTTCGAGCAACGTTTCCGTGCTATGCCAGACTTCAGGCACATGTACTTCAAGAAAGGCCAGGGGTCAGGCATATTGCAGTTCATTGCCAGACAGACGGGCCTTTGCTCCTTTAGCAAGACATATCACAGAATAGGTTATTTTTCTTCATTATTCCCACTGTTCATGGTGATGTGCCTGCCTGGGCTGACACCGCACCTAAGGATTTAAGTGAATGTATGATATATGATGATATATGGATGTTTGATGTAATTGTTGTGCTCGTTTGCCGAAGAGCAATGAATTCGGCAGTCTTCAGTACAACCTGGCAGCGTGATCATTTGTATGGAGCCCACTCTGACTCTAGAAATAAGTATTCAACTTGTCACCGCCACGAATTTCGGAACTTCGAGGGGTCCTAAATTGTGGCGGAATATAATCGGAATATAGTCCCTCAAGAACGTTCTTCACCAACACAAGCATGCACAAATCCTGATAATGCTTGTGATGCCTCCAATGTGACTCACATCCGAATGGCGCCTCCCCATCGTGTGGCGAGTTGATTGCCTCACCTATTGACTTCTGATTCATTGATAAAGGGGTGTGGGTGGGGATTAGGTTGGTGCTTGTGTTGCTCGCAACTGTTGCGGCCAGGCCTCACTTCCTGCGCAGTGCTGCACGTCAACATCACTGGCTTTGATACCTCACATCCATATGCCTTCGTGCTGGTCCTTGATGAGACTGTGGCTCGAACAGCTCTTTTGTTCGATGGCATGGAGATTTGCGGTTGTGCAGTCCAACTGCGTCGCCCTCACGAATACTGCAGCCCCCCCGGATGGAGACTCTGGTGCTACTGCGCCAGTGCTGGATGTGTCGGTCCTACATCGGATCGGCATGCTGAGTTCAAAGAGGGAGACCCATGGCATGCCGATGCATGACATGCATGATGCTTCTCTTCCCGTGGTTGAACGCACCCATCTACCACCGCGGCCTCCTCCAGCCAGAATTCCAGCAGGAATTCCAGGCCCTGCCGGAGCTACTCCCAAGTTTGCTCCCAAGCCGATGATGCGAGGGTTGCGGCATTTGTATCTCGGAAACTTGCCTGTGGGGCACAGGAGCTTGCAGGATGTCACAGAGTTGGTGACCTGTCTTTGCACTGAGCTAGTCTCGTACAGCAAGGATCTAGGCCCTGCTATGGTGGATGCTGCAGAAGTGCAAGGGGGCTGGGTGGTGGAAATGCAAAGCCCTGAGTTGGCATTAGATGCTCAAAACTGCTTGCGGCAGACGGTCTTGGCTGACACGCATCTCTCGGTGTACCTCACCTTCTCCACGAGATAAGATGCTGCAGCAGCCTTCGGTGCAGCCTAGCTGCCCGATTCTAATTCAAGCTGCATGTGCTAGGAGGTCAGTCTTTCGAGCTTGGGAGTCAGTGGTTCACCTTGACTTTAGAAGAAATGCAGAACATGAACAAAGAGAATTATATAATAAGGTATGATTGATATTCTTGGGGTTCTTCTTGACTCACTATGGTGTACGAGCTTTTCTTCGCTGCGTGAACCCCTGCGCGCTGTCGAGACTGAACAATCGGACATGACCCGGTGACGAGCGAAGCTCAAAAAAGATATGAAAGACCGCTGATCGCTTGACGTGAAGGCATTTCTTTGGGCAAAGGAATGTGTTATGTGAGGGTTTAGACTCCCCGGCCAGGAGCCCAAGAGAGAGGTCCGATCAGTCGAAGTGGGACAGCAAGTCCGGAACTCGCCATTGCTATTAGGTTGGAGGCCATTGCTACTAGGTTGGAGGCCATTGCTATTAGGTTGGAGGCCATTGCTAATTACTGTAGTAGGTTGGAGGCCATGGCTCTTGGGTTGGAGGCCATGGCTCTTGGGTTGGAGGCCATCGCTCTTAGGTTGGAGGCCATCGCTATGCTGAGGTCATGATCCAAGGATCACGCAGAAGGCAGCTGTGCGGCTGTGCACTGTGCGGATGGGTTTCATGGCCTTCATAAAAGGAACAGACAAGGATTCTACCTTGGACAAGCTATTTCAGGAAAGAACAACATCAAGCCAGTAGTGTTTGGACATTGATAGATGCTTGGACCTGGACACGTCAGTGATGTTCACATGTTGTGAATAGGCCAGACCTGAATGGCCTGCATGGAGAAGTTCTGGGCGACAGTCAAAGGCTCAGGTGGCTCGCGAGTCTGCCCAGTTAAGCGTTCTCGCGATTCTTCGAGTTAACTAATTCTTTTTCATAAACATCTGCGAGCCAAACGACTAGTGCGAGCACTTCTTCAAGGAGGGGGTGCTTCCTTGAAGAAGCGTGAGCTATCCTGCGTCCCCTAGTAATTTGTAGACAGCCCTTACTTAATCAAGTAGGCGGATACGGTAGGCCGCCTACGTCTATAATTAAGTACTGAAACCCTCCACCCTAATAGCGATGGCCTCCAACCTAAGAGCGATGGCCTCGACCTAAGAGCCATGGCCTCGAACCTAAGAGCGATGGCCTCCAACCTAATAGTGCGAAGCGTATGACCCCAAAAAGAAGGGAATCCTAGGGGCCCATACACCTCAATGAACAACATAGGAACAAAACTGGATCCATCTCCCACCCTCCAAGACGCTCGGACCATTTTCTTCTTTCCACATGATGTGCATGGTCCGTGCATGGCGTTGAGCCATGAGACAACGAAAGCTCGAAGGATATGGCTGTATCAGGCAACGACATGCATCGAATGGCGTCGAATGCATGGTACCTGACGTCAGGAAGAAGGAACACGTTTACCTATAGGTGGTACTCTAGACTCACCCGGTTCACTGGTGGTGAATTATCTTGACATAGAACATATTTCCACACCCCTTTTTCGGGATAATCCTAGTGGTCTGCGCATAGAGTTCTTAAGGTGTGCGCCGCAGGCAGTTGAGGAGGTGGTCTTCCAACCTGCCACATGCATGTAATGGCGCAAAGGAGCTGAAAAGAAAAAACGAATGCTCTGCATGTGCGGGAAGCGTGGGCAAATCAGTTCGATGAGAAATCGAAAAATCACAATTCTCTGCACACATGGATATCCACCCCAGCCTGCTGTAAGCTGTCCAGCAACCTCATGTGCGATGACATGCGGCCTCGAGATTCTAATGCATAAACTCTGCGCCATGTTGGGCCAAGTGCATCCAGAGACGGCCTCAGACTTCAATCAATACATCTTCAAAGCAATATTCTTGTCTATTGTTTCGTTTGTGAGCATTTGCGCACACAGGCGTTTACGCTCAGAAACCTTGGGTTCGATTGCCCATGAAACCTTTGAAGGGAAACAGGCGCCGATGACAAGGATGAAGTGATAGAACGACGTTGGTCTCAGATTGCAGCAATCCGCTAGTAGGCCTGACATGCTTTTTATTTCAAGCAAACTGAAACAAAGAAATTCACGAACAATTCTAGAGCAAGTGGTGGTTGAAAGGCGACTCACATTATTGGACAATGGACAAAGCTGGAGAAAGCAAACTTTTTGCTCAGCCATTTTCAATAGCACATGTGCAAGTGCACAAGTGCACAAGCTGATGAAATTGCAATTGACCCAATTGAGCCACACTCCACCCTGAAGTGTATTTTATAGCAATTGAAAACCTGTGCATTGGTGGCAAAGGACAGCTGACTACCACCTCTAGTAGTAGTAGTAGTAGTAGTAGTAGTAGTAGTAGTAGTAGTAGCAGTAGCCAGAATGATCTTGCGTTTCCTTCTCCCGACCTAACGCGTCACACAAAATATGAAACCAAATTTGAAAACAGACGCAGCAACTTACATTCACTAATGGCGGCTTTCTCCAATGATTTTGCGTGTGCAGCCAAGAAGCGGATAGCAGCAAAGAGCCATGATGTTGATTCCCAGCAAACTTCCCAATGCGTTTGTAGGTTGGACCTGCGTTGTCAAGATCTTTGGCAATTGGCACTTGCAATCTCTTCAAAACAACGCGTGTGTAGATTTGATACACAACATGCTTCCTTTTTTGATCCCAACATCTAACTCATAGAAATGAAAGACTCAAGGTCCAGGGCGCAACAATTTGGCGAGGCTTGCTCAGTCGCGGAATCTGATATTCGTCAAAGATCTCTTCAGCCAAACTTTGAAAAAGGTTCCTTTCACAGGTTGAGCCAGCAGGGATCAATGGAGGAGCTGCCCCTCCCATCGGATCGATGTCGAATGATCCACTGTAAGTCTGCTATTCGATGGAAAACTTGGATCGGCAGGCATTGATTGGTCTCTGTTTGGGCCTTTACTCCGGCCTCTCACGATCCAGTTCCTCAACAGTTCGTTCGGCCATGGCTCGAAAAACGGATGGGTGGAGGTGAAATGTCCCATTGACCTGGATACTTGTATGTTGAAGATCTTGAGGAGCGCCATGAGCTCCGCTACCATGCGAAGCGTATGACCTCAAAAAGAAGGGAATCCTAGGGGCCCATACACCTCAATGAGCAACCAGGAACAAAAACTTGATCCATCTCCCACCCTCCAAGACGCTCGGACCATTTTCTTCTTTCCACATGATGTGCATGGTCCGTGCATGGCCTTCAGCCATGAGGCAACGAAAGCTCGAAGGATATGGCTGTATCAGGCAACGACATGCATCGAATGGCGTCGAATGCATGGTACCCGACGTCAGGAAGAAGGAACACGTTTACCTATAGGTGGTACTCTAGACTCACCCGGTTCACTGGTGGTGAATTATCTCGACATAGAACATAGTCCTCAGGGTTACAAATAGCGATGGCCTCCAACCCATTAGCGATGGCCTCCGACCTAAGTGCGATCTCCAACCTAGAACCGATGGCCTCCAACCCAAGAGCGACGGCAGAGGGATGGCCTCCAACCTAGTAGCGATCGCCCTTGAACCTAATAGTGATGGCCTCCGTTCTAAAAGCGTAAGGGAGGCAAAAAGAAAAAACCTATTCTTCAAACAATTGTAACATCTTCATGTCTGAGGTGATCATGCAGGACGTTTGGAGGTCCGGCTTTTCCAAAAGGATGGCAGCAAAGGCCGCAGGCTGCAGGGGCTGGCATGGTGGTTTGCATTTTGCTCTAGAATTTGCTTTAGGCCCTTCATTCATTTTTTGCTGTAGACCCTTTGAACATTTTCTGAGTCACTCCTTCGGATGCTGTTCGCTGAACCCCTCTCCAAGTGCCGTGAGAAGTACATACAAAGTCTATCTATATTCTGAGCAAGCTCTTGTCACGGATGATGAATCCTGCGCTGCGCACCTAATGTGGCCATGTTTTTTTGTGGTGGAGGCCGTCGCTAGTAGGTTGGAGGCCATCGCTATTGGGTTCGAGGCCACCGCTATGGACCTGATTTTGTGGCGTTGTTTGGAGGATGCGAATCAGCGGCCACCGCCTCTCAAGATCCTTGTCCATGGCAGGTGCTGTTGCAGCAGGGGTGCTGTTGCTCAGTCATGCGAAGATTGGAGACAATGTTCCACTGTTCAGTGATGTTTTCAACCTTTTGTGGAATGTTTGACAGAGGTTGAGAAACCAGTCATGTCCAGCAGGGAACTCAGACAGTCTGAACCAGTTGTTTTGAGTTGGTAAGAAAAGTCTTGGTGATGTGCAGTGAAACGTGGTTGTGGCAATCAGTTTCTGGTTGTGGCAAATCTGGATCAAACTTAAAGGCCATCGCTATTAGGTTGGAGGCCATCGCTACCAGGGTGGAGGCCATTGCTTGTAAACCTCCAATCATTGTCACCTTCTCAACTTCTCTTGGAGCTTGGATGACCGGATCATCTAGCTGTGGCCAAGTTAATGGGTAAACACAGGATAAGTCCAACTGCACGGTGGGGGGGGTACGTCGGATGAAACGGTTTGTTCTTTTGCTGGAGCCAAATCATTTCCATTCCCTTTTTGCGAACACCTGTTAACTTGGGGTGCGGACTCAGGTTGACCAACGCGTCTGACGTGCTTCGTTTCAGCGACCAACGCGAATCTGCAGACTTCTTTAGAGCCGGGATAGACCCGGCGAGACAATAGACGCCCTCAAAGAGCATTGGCGGACCTTTTTGCATGTGTCACCCTTGGAGTTTGGTGCAAGTTTCATGAACCATGCTCAAACTCGCTCAAGCACGGGTCTGATGCTTGAGCCCAGATCGCATCACCTGCTCTCAATTGCTCTCACCAAGACTTCGAGGTCTCAATCGGCATGAAGTGCCGAAGGTTTAGTCGTGCCACGTTGCACTCGGGCCGTTTTGCCCGGAGCAGAAAGGTGAACCGCGCGTGGACGTCGACGGAGAATCCTTCGCAGTTCACATCATGGCTTCATTCTGTGGGCAGCCAATTGATAGTTTCCAGGTTTGCCAAGAGATGGAACAGGCTACACTGAAGTTGTCAACACTCAGCTCGCAGCTGAAGCTTGCAGTTTTGCACGCCTCGACCAGTTCATTCAAGATCATAGCGTTCAATGTCTTCGAAGAACATCAAGTGTGCTGTTCACAGCATTTGCCATGCGCTCCACTGGCCAGCGATGGAGATTGGCAGAGCGAGCATGGCGGAACATGCAGCGGGCTTGGCTTTTTTTGCATCCTCATTGAAGCCTAAAAGGCTTAAGGCACAGGCTACTACTAATGGCACTAGCCAGGTCGGACTTCTCCAACCCAATCTCCGTTCCAAAAACTGAAGAACCTTTTGGATCCTTTTTGGATGGACAATTGTTCCACAGATGGAGGCCATCGCGATTAGGTTGGAGGCCATCGCGATTAGGTTGGAGGCCATTGCTATGAGGTTGGAGGCCATCGCTACTCGCTACTGTTGGAGGCCATCGCTACTAGGTTGGAGGCCATCGCTATGAGGTTGGAGGCCATCGCTATATGAGGTTGGAGGCCATCGCTATTAACTTGGAGGCCATGGCTATGGCTATTAGGTTGCAGGCCATGGCTATTAGGTTGGAGGCCATCGCTATCAACTTGGAGGCCATGCATCGCTAGTAGGTTCGAGGCCATCGCTATTAGGTTGGAGGCCATAGCTATAGGTTGGAGCCATCGCTATTAGGTTGGAGGCCATCGCTATTAACTTGGAGGCCATCGCTATTGGGTTGGAGGCCATCGCTATTAGGTTGGAGGCCATCGCTACTAGGTTGGAGGCCATGGCTATTTGGTTGGAGGCCATCGCTATTAGGTTGGAGGCCATCGCTAT